GGAGGCCTCCTAGAGGCATAAGTCTCTCTCTGACTGCTGGCTGAGAAGGACGTGCTGCTGAGAGAAACAGGCTCCCGAGACATGCGCTCCTGAGAGACATGTGCTCCTGAGAGACATGCTACTGGGAAAGAGATGCAAGAGACACGCATTGCTGAGAGAGACACCGAGGGACACACACTGCTGGGAGAGAGACTGTGGGAGACTGTTGGCTGAGAGATGGTGGGCTGAGAGAGACTGAGCGTTTTTCTTGAACTTAACTTGTAGCCTGTTGCTTCCCTAATAAACCCCATAATCTGTGAGTTCTGTGTGGCCACTGCAGTGAATTATCGAACCTAGCAGAAAGGTGGTGGGTGCTGCGGGAGGAACGGTTGGTGTCAGGGTTGATAAAAGGGCTGGAGGGAGGCAGCATGTCTGCCCTGTTAGGGATGGGCCTTGGGCTACTGATGGTGATTCTGTCTTCCTCTTGTGGGGTTAGAGGAGGTCAGAAGATGCCGCCTCCCTGCCCCTTTGGCACACACTTCCAGCTTGACGTCTGAACCCTTGTCTGTACATTCAGCTTGGGTGGGTGGCACCGATGACCGAGTTTGCTCCGCTCCCCTCCCCAGCCACCCACTGTAACTCTATGGTGTCCACCCATGTGACCATCTGCCCCCTCCCATGAGTCTCAAGGGTGGGCTTCCCCAGCACCATTTTGGAGTTCTCCAAGCTGGGAGTGGGCTGGGCACTCGGTTGTGTTGGGGACCAACCGCTAAAGCGGACTTCACGGAAGGGTTGTCCATCCCCGAGGTGGCGGGCACTAGTTGGGAGTCAGTTCTGCCCACCTGGACCCTCCAGCACGCAGAGCCCCCTTCCAGATGCGAGACAACTCGATGGTTAATAGTGGTGGGGACACTGGGCCCAGAACGGGGCCGAGCCTGGCTGCTGCCCTGGTCCCCTGCCCCCACCCTCCCCAGCAGAGGGTGCAACAGTGGGGAGATCCAGGCAGAAGTGCACGGACAATCTGAGGTGGGGTGAGCATCACTCGGTGCAGCAGGCTAGGAAGACCCATGGCTGGGAGTTTGGGACAGGCACCCCAGAGGGGGGGCTGGCAACCTGCCTGCTGGCCAGCAGCTGGCTCTTCACTCACTGGGGTCCAAGTCCAGGTCTGAGGGATGGATGTGGGAGGGTGGGTGGAGTCACACACTAATGCTGGGAAGGGATGAGTACCAGTCTCTTCTCAGGGCTGACGGCCCAGGAGGGTGTGGGGAGCTACACCTGCTCCCATCCTGCGCTGAACTTCTCCCAACTTCTCCTCAGCAAACGGCCTCCCTTGTTTTACTAAAGGAGCTCTGGTAGCAGTGACTAAGCCATCTGACTGCTAACCAGAAGGTTGGTGGTTCACACCCACCAGCCACTCTGTGGAAGCAAGACTGGGCAATCTACTTCCATAAAGATTTACCGCCTCGGAAACCCAATGGGGGTTGCTATGAATTGGAATCAACTCGATGGCAGTGGGTTTGGTTTTTTGTTTGTTTGTATTACTGAGAAGGAGCTTTGGTGGCACAGTGGGTAAGGCATTTGGCTGCTAACCAACAGGTCAGCAGTTCAAACCCATCAGCCGCCATGGGGGGAAGATGAGGCAATCTATTTCCGCAAAGATTTACAGCCTTGGAAACCCAGTGAGAGTCAGGGAGTCAGAATCGACTCAGTGGCAGTGAGTTTGATTTTGGTTTGTTTTGTTTTACAAAAAGGAGCCCTCGTGGGACAGTTGTTAAAGCGCTCAGCTGCTAACCGAGAGGTTGGCAGTTTGAACCTACCAGCCGCCCTGTGGCAGACAGATGTGGCAGTCTTTATCCATCAAGATTTATAGTCTTGGGAACCCTACGGGGCAGTTCTACTCTGTCCCACCAGGTCCCCATGAGTTGGAATTCACTTGATGGTTGTTGTTATATACTGTCGAGTCGGACCCGACTCATAGTGACCCCTCCTTGGGTTCCCGAGGCAGTATCACTACGGAAGTAGATTGCCCCATCTTTCTTCCGAGGAGTGGCTGGTGGGTTTGGACCGCCGTAGTGGATTCGCTTTACAAAAAGGCTAACTGAGGCACAGCTGACTGGAGACTCCCTCCCCATAGCCTCATCTGCCTGTCAGTCCTCCTGCTTTTGACACCTTGCTCCTAGCCTTTTCCCCTGGCCCAGACTCAGGCGTGGCCACCTATTTTCTGGCTTCTCTGACTCATACTCCCCCCTTAATCTTTCTTCCCCTGGAGAGGGTCTGAGCAGCAAGGAGGTGCCCTCTTGCAGGTGTGTCTCCCCTGCTGGGGCCTGGGACCCTTGCTGGGCAGTTGAGGGACAGGTGGGCAGAAACATGACCAGCCACAGACTAGTCAGCTCATTTTCTGGCTATCTCTCTCCAAGGCCCTTGGGTACCTCAATCTCAGCATGGCCCAATCCCAGCCTCTTATCCACCAGAGTCAGCCCATGGATGACCCCTGCCTCATCCAGCCAGAGCAGGCAGTCCAGCCTCTGCCTCTGCAAAACCACTGACCAGCCCAGGCCAGCAGGGCACAGCTTGGCTTCCCACCTGGACGAGGCCCTGCCCCCTCGGGTCCCCAGCCAGATCCTGTCCTTGCCCTACAACAGCCTTCTGGCCTCTGGGGCCGGGTCCAGACCCTCCTCCTCACAGCAATAAGCCTGGTCTTCTCCCCATGCCCCAAGCAGTTCTCACCACTTCTCTGGAAAGTTCCAGCATTCACAAGCCCCCAGCCTGTGCAACCTGGTCCTCCCTAGAGCACCTTCACCTCTCTCTCCACAAGCTCCCATCACTTACCTGGACTTTAGGGCTCCATTTTGAAGCCATCCTGTTCCAGGAAGCCCCCTTCCCACTGCCAGCCAAGTGGCTCCCCCCAGGCCCTAACCCTTAAGCCAGGCTCTCTGGGTCTAAAGCTGGACCCGTTCCTCCCACCCCACCCCATTAAGGCCTTAGGGTATGGACACACAAAGCTGGGGTTGGATGCCTACTCCCCCGTTGCTCTGGAACCAGACTTCTGGGCCATGGGGTCTGGGCATGGACCAAGGGTGAGAAATGCTAAGAGCTGAACCTGCCGGAAGGCTGTTGTGAAACCCGGAGCAAAGTTCCAGGTGGTTCCCAGCAAACCTTCCTTGGCCAAGAGGACGTCTCCCTCTGACTCAGACGCATCGGCCCCATTGAGTCCTGGGCGCGGGTAGGGTGGCGCCTCCTCCTGCAGGCTTGGGATCATCGGGTTGGTGAGGGCAGCGCCTCCTCCAGTAGGGCCACTGGGATTGCGGGCGTGATGGGGGGGGGGTGTCCCGGGGACCCTGACACACTGCTGTTCATTCTCTCACCTGCATGTAATGGAGAGACCTTCTTGAGGAGGGGCGGAAGTGGAGGTATGTCAAGGTTCCCCCCCATCCGCGATGCATCCAACTTCGGACCCTTGAGGACTACGACTTCGGCCCAGAGTCTCGGCCCAAGAATGTAGTCAATGCGGGGACCAGGGCGCGGGGCAGGGCACTCGGGGAGGCGGGGCCAGGCTAATGCAGACGGGTTGGACTGAAAGGGCTCAGCAAACGGGGGCGGGGCTGGGAGGCGGGGCCTGTGGCTGGGGGTAGGGCCTGGAGGATGGGGAGGGCCCGGGAGGCGGGGCCAGGCTGATAGAGGCTGATTGGACTAAAGGGTCTCCATAGACGGGGGCGGGGCTGGGAGGCAGGGCCTGTGGCTGGGGGTCGTCCTAGCGGATGGGGC